TTATATCAGTATCACGGACCTAAAATCTAAAGTAAACAGTATAATATGGAAATGAAATCTGTGATCTTTCAATGAAAGRAACAACGTGGAATAAGAAACGAACAAATTGAGRTCGCCGAGTGGTCTCTATGACATTGGGTCTATCAGGAAAGCATTCAAAAAKAATATTCATCCCATTATGAATAGATTTATCGTCTGGAGTGTCAAGAAACTGAATAATATCACGATACTCGGTATACTTCGAACATTTGGTCTATATTTTCACCAGTCATGGCATGAAATATGGGTTAAAAGCAGTTTCTATGGTCGATTGAATAAGCAAAGTCCTCGTTCAGAACACTTTAATTATTACATACAATACACACAAACAATTCAATTTATAGAAAAATAGAATATTATAATTCTGAAAAGGAATCAGTTTCACTCGACTGAAATCAAAATTTAAACTGGGTTATTAAMAAAATACATGTAAGAAACGGCAAATTTCACCAATTTTTCGTGATTAAAAAAGTTGATGAAAAATAAATTTATGCATTGCCGAAAACATGCTGAGAGAAACGCCAGAAGTTAGTTAATAATCTTTTCTGGGAATTCTCATTTTGTTTTCCTGCTGAAATACAAAGGAAATATATGTACATTTTGCTTTCAGATTTCATTTTCGTTCGTCAAAAATCAACCATTCGTTTATATCTACATCGATATTTAATAAGAAAAATCGATTTTATAAGATAAAAATTAACCATAATRAGAAGATTCAAGAGATAATGGAAAGTGTACAGACAATCTCAGTCATAAAATATAGATTTTTACTGAAATGGAAATCAGATAAAACATGGTATATATTGAATTAAGTAAGATTACATCAGTTCAGATCATGATAGTGAGGGATTACTAAGACTAAATCATTAATAGTGCACTTGATAAAGGTAATTGCTCAGAATTTTTTAGTTCATCAAATTCATCTAGTTACATGATCACAAAAACATTAATATGTGGAAATTTTAGGAAAGTAATCCTTCCTTAGATAAAAAATTATTAATATTATGTCAACTTAATGGCGATTGAAATAAATAATACAATTTTGTCATTTTTTTGTGTAATTTGCATCTATAATTCTTTTTATTTTCAYGTTACATCAATCAAGTCATACGACTAAAGTTACCATAGCAACATATCAGAATCTGGATCAAAAGTCTAGTACAGGCATTTCAGGTTTTTAATCTGAACAATATACTTGTCACTCAAGTTAGTTTATAGTAGAATGAACACAGTTATCATATAATTATCTACATGATTGTATAAAATACCTATTATTTCTCCATTATGTACAGACATTTTCACTAGAGAAAATAACACATTCAAGGTTTCTCTATATAGTGGAAGTAAGAAAAAGGCATTTTATGACATAGTTTGCTTTCATATATAATTATTACATGATAAACAGAATATTACATGGTCACTTGGGGATACAGATCTTATCTTGTCGTGTTGAAAATCTCTCACTGGTGAGATCTTTTCAATGATTGAAGATAAAATCCGTAACCTTCTTGCACGTCCATGTAATATCCTCTATTTAATCTGTCAAATAGATCATACTTACTGTATTTAAAGGGCTAGCCATTCGACTTTTGAAGGGGTGGGGGGTTTGGAGCAAGGGTGATTTGCTCAAAGTGGGAATTTCTTTTTAGACGGAGTAGTTGTTCAAAATTTATTGGGTAAAATTGCAAAGATCATTCTAGTGGAATTTTGCCTTGCAGGATTCCCCCCCCCCCCCCCCCCACCCCCCAGCCCTTTGGGCTGTGCAAGAAAATTATTTATAAAAGCGTGCTCCCTATCTCAAAACTGATGAGGTGAACCCCTAGAGATGTCAAACAAATRCAGAGAAGCTGATAAAAAATAAATATGGAGTTTCTTTTCGGTATAATAATATAAAAATATTAGGTAACTTTGCTCTGCCAACACCTCAGAAATTCATACCTTATGGGCTTCCTGTGRCAACATATATTGGGTGCAATATAATGACATTTTCAAGACAAGATACTAAACGGTTTATTGACAATAAAAATAACACAAAAAAAACATGAAAAATTTTACATCTACAGTATACAATATAATTAATACTATTACATTTTTATAAGATGTTTGTTTTTAGTAATTTTGATTATAATTATAAAATTTATCATGACTAGGCTCAACGTTTCGGTGCCATCAGGCGCCATTTTCAAGAGTAAAGTAATTGTGAGTTCGTAGTTTGAATATATTTGAATATAGTGGCTCTTGAAAATGGTGCCTGATGGCACCGAAACGTCGAGCCTAGTTGTGAAAAATTTTATAATCAAAACTATTACATTTACATGCAAAATAAAAATGCTTGGATGCCATGAGCAAGTCTGCAGTGTTGGTTGGTATAGCTACAGTATACTCCTTTTAACAGAGAGTAACATGTACATGCAGTTGTGTTCCTCTACCTCAAACTTCTTTGAAAAGCCCAGATTACATTAGATGTGCGAGTCATTCCCATTAATGCTCACAATTCACTAAAATGACGTTGTAGTACACTAGTGAAGACGATGGCTTTTCATTATGACGGCTTTGCGTTAAGAATATAAACATCATGTAAGGGTCTGTTAAGAGAGTAAAATAATGAATYATTAGTCTCCTCTCGCAGCCATTAAATGTAGCTATGAGGCTCATTCCCAGGCCTCTCCCCCTAATGCCTCTTAAGACCTGGGACGGAGCCTTGTAACGTCTACGAGAAGAGACTATGGATTATGAGTTAACAAATGAATCCATTTATGAGAACCAGGATGGTCTACTCAAATGTACTTTACTTGGACTAGTAAATTAAATGCTTTCTAGTCAATACAAAAATGTAGCTAGAAAACACTTACTAGTAATTTTATAATACATGTAATTAATCCCAAAAAACTTCAACCAAATATCTATCACACAATAATATAGCCAAGGAATAGTTGTTATGTTATTATTCATAATACCAATGAACTAAGACAAGTGTTAGTAATCATGATGTCCCAAATATGAAATATATCTCAATAGTACCTATCTTTTGGGTCTGTCTCTACCAAGCCAATTCTCTTTATAACTTCCATTCCTCTTTTGATTCTACCAAAAATTGTATGTTTTCCTGTAGGTGAAAAAAAAAGTACTATAAAAATATTATAATGTACACCTACTTGCAAAAACGTTGTCATAGAAAATAGGACATTTACAAGTATTTTAGTAAAAAGGAAGAAATTAAAAAGACAAAAGAAGATCACGATGCTGAATGCTTTCTTTTGTCTTTATTCCTTTTTACTAAATTTAAATGTTCTATTTTCTTTGACAACGTTTCTGCAAGTAGGTGTATCTACTAAACTGATGCTTTGAATATTAATTACAATGAATGCTTGCATACCATCTAACCACTGTGTTGGTGCTAAAGTGACAAAGAACTGACTTCCATTTGTATTAGGGCCACTGAAAAAGCAACAATTAGAAAATGAATGTACTATCACTATAGATGCTTGCGACGTAAGCTGGAAGTGAACTGAAAACAATGGAAAACAAAGGAATGGAAACAAGGCCTAAGGGCCCTTGATTTGTTGAGATGGCAAACATCAAGGGATTTCCTTCACCTTAATTCAAGAAAAATTGCTTGTCGGTAGGAAAAGGTCATTTTAATTCTTGCTTCTTGTTAGATTCAATAAGAATATTTTTTAATAATCCCTAAGTTACTTCCAGTTTATGTCGTAACCATGTAATATTAGCTTCAAGATAAATGCAATCTTCAAGGAACCATTCTTTGAAACAGTAGGCAATCTTCTTTTAATCCATTAGTGTGTACCTATTAGCCATTGATAGTATCCCTGCACCAGTGTGCTTTAAATCCCGTGTGATTTCATCTTCAAAGATTGGGCTGGTGTTGACAAAATAAAAGAGAAATAAAGGATAATGCACTACAACTACAACTATTGCATGCAACTTGTAAATCATCTTTAAGTACAATGCCATGAGGAATGGCTACCAACTGCCATGGGGATTTTAAACAATTGCTTAATATTGTAAGGATGACTTGCACAGGTTGCATGGGGTGGTTCATGGGTGGTTGTAGAAAAAAGTCGTGATGTCTAATTCAGCCTTATGACAAACTTGCTATTGATGACAGGTGTCTATCATGTTTTGCTCTTCCAGTCATTCTTATCATGACTCTTTGTTGTTGCTTAATTTAGAAACTTTAAAGGTTAGATGTAACAATCACTGTCATAAGCTATTTAACCAGATAATTTCTGCATCTGAGCACAAGCTTCGTACAATGTAGTTTTCTACCAGAACTAAGAACAAATGCCAGTACAATCTGAAAAGCCAGTGTGGTTTCAGTGTACTAAATGCATTAGTTCAACCTTTTTTTCCTATCATGAGCAGAATTACATTCTTAACTGTCTCATCGCACCTCGTAATTAGAGAAGTGTGACTTCAAGTAAACAATGAAATCTTACCCGTAAACAGATGCTCCACCTCTTCCTGTACCAGTGGGATCTCCTGTCTGTACCATAAAATTCTAAAAGGAAAAATAAAGCTATCATTTCACATTTTTTCCTAAGGTAGCAATGTACCCTCTGTGTTACCATGACTGCAATGATTATGAAGTAATCCATATAGTGTTGCTAGGTGATATTAAGAAATCTGCAGGGGCAGATCCAGCTGGTGGGTGCAGGGGGGTGCACAGCCCCTCGTAAGATCTGATATCCTTCAATACTTTCCTTATTTTGTACCTTCGTGGTAATGATTTTTGTGGGGTGCACCCCCTCCTAAAAGCCCTGCACCCCTCCCTGAGGAAAATCCTGGATCCACCCCTGTCCTGCATATATATAATAAAAATACCATATTTTGGGTATTTTACTAGCCATTGGATTGCTATGCACCAACACAGTAGCCCAGACCATAGCTAACCTCCCTCTACATGTATTGACTATGCCCAGACAAACTTCACAACATTCAAGTAAGGATTGATCRTTTTCAACCATTCCCATGTGATTCAAAAGATTAAAGAACGGTGGCCATGTTGGAGGAATGAACAATAGAAACTGATGAAAAATCCTTTGTTGTTGTTCCTCCAGGATGGACACTATAATGCACTAGTCAATTGAAACCCCCGACCCCTAGGGAATACCGGGGAATTTAACGTTTGAGTTGTGTTAAAATAAGACATTTTCCCCAGTAGTCAGGGCACAATTCATTGTTAAAATTCCCGCTACTGTTGCCCCGTTATTTTGGTCTAGTAGTAAATAACAAAAGAAACATGCACCTTTCAACCAAATTTTCTGTGATACACATGGTGAATTTTTGTATAATCCTGTGTACTCATTTTCATACTACGTGAGGCTAACTGGAAGGAGAAAAGCATGTGTAATAAGTTTCTTTAAAAAAAATCATGCAAAGAAAAATAAACAAATAAAAAAGCGGGGTTGAATACCAATGCCTTCAGGGTATTTCTCAAGATGACCGAGCTCTAGTTTCCAGCCTTATACATGTTCAAACGCGCGTTAAAATCCCCGCTTTTTGCCCCGTTTCATCAAAATCCCGAACCCCCGGGGCAATCTTGCAGTTAAAAGCAAGTTAAAAACGTGTCACTTCCCGTTTTAGTGCCCCGCTAAACCCGGGGCGGGGGTTTCAATTGACTAGTGCATAATGCAAGCTTACAAGTGAAAATGAACAATAGACTGCAGTCAATCAACATTTTTTAAATGAACTGGCATTTGGTGCCAAGACTCTTAAGTTGAAAAGACAGCAGCCTATTGCTGATTATTGCAGTTATGCAGTTTTACTGTTGGCCTTGGGTAAAACTATAAGCTTACAACGAAAACAAGAAACTTATTAAGAGAAAACATTAATGTTCTACTTACTCTTATTACACGATGGAATTTGCAATTAGCGTAATAYCCTCTATCAGACTATAGATGGTAAAAGTATAAAAAATTTCACCATTAGTAAGCTATAATATTAGTTTTTAAGCTTAATAAACATGTCAAAAGTTTTCATACCAATTCGACAAAGTTCCTACAAGTTTTTGGTGCATGTCTCCAGTACAGCTCAACTTCAAATCCACCCTGAAATTTCGTTAATTATAAACAACATCAATGTGGAAAATGTTCGACGTCTTGATTGAGAATTTTTTTTGGCATTTTCGCACGTGTTGTATAGGCTGTAGGTCCAAATTTCATGGCGAGAAAATAACGATTTTCGCCAATCAATTTACAATAGAATTGTAATATTACTACAGTAGATGACACAAATCATATCAAAATATCATTTCGAAAAAGAATATGAGTAAAATTCAATTTACAACTGGTATAAACGTACCATTGAAGTTTCAACGAAAACACTTGGACTTCGTTTCTCGCCCGCCATCTTGAAACAGAAAAGGATGCTGGGATAGGATTATTGTTTTCGGGGTTCCTGTGTTRTACTTTTTTATGATTTTCGTTATATCGTTCTGTAAATGTTTGCCTTTTTGATTTTTAGAATAAAAAAAAACAAGAAAAATTCATTCATTTTTTCACGCTGTTATTACGAGCAAGGATTTTTTAAAGAGTTTTTTTACGCTACAAATCTTAGCTTATCTTTCAGTCAAAAAAGGGCACTAGGAAAACACAAGCATAGTAGAAATTTCTTCAAAAAATGTTGACCTTTTTTCAGAGTTATTTTCGCTATTTGACTATGACAAGCATTCATTTTTCATGTCGCGTGACAGGAAGACAATGCAGACATCGACGTGACAGCTGCTTACCTTATATGGTTGGGCCAATCACAGTTTTGCTTGTTGCCCCAGTGGATGTTTCTTGACAACACGAACGCGCGCAAGCCGTCTCGAAGGACTTTCTCTTTTGGGTCAAGCAACACCAATGGAATTCTAAATTTGTGATTGTTTTTCAATGAAAAACAGCAAGAAAACTACCAATGAGTATTCCCTAACAACCATAGCAATAGTGYGAGAGGTTTTGTGGTGAAAATAGGCCTTWTAATCCCGCCTTGAGGTTTCAAAAGTTTTGCTTCTTGTGATATCATGCCGGTTGCCTGCCAGCGACTGGAGTTTCTTCAACTCTTGAAGCTTTTGCAGTCAGTACACAATGAAGATGTTCAACAGATTGAAAAACTTATACTTAATGGAGTTCCTGATCTTGTCAATTTATCAGGTAAAAATCCAATGAATGATTTTATTGTTTTATTATTTTTGAAGGCATTAATCTTTGTTGGGCGATTGTAAAAGGCAGATTACACACTGCRTTGCTTGGAAAACATTGAAAAATATCTTTTAACTCTTTGAAACAGAAAATAACTCAATTCTTGCTTAGGCTAAGTTTCTGTTTTATATATGAACTGGATTAAAATAGCTAATTGTTCGAAAAGCCGCTATTTGAAGGAGCACTAATCTGATACGATTTTATCGCCTTTGTGGCTTTCACCATGGCATTTGTCATTTCTTTATTATTCAATTAGGCTCTTAAAGATTGAACTATTAACAAAAACTATCGGGCTTTCATGTTGCTTCCTTAGGAAATATCTGTAAATTAYATATGCTGTAGAAAAAGCTCCCGCTTTTTTTTACTCTATCTAAAACTTAAAAAAAGAGAAAGAAAAATAATATTAATTGCTACATAAAAGTTATTGTCAATGCCACATTCAGTTTAACAAATTCAAAATAACCTCATTATTATTTATATTTCCTACAGAACCAGAGCATGGCGAGACAGGTCTTCATATCGCCGCATGTAAAAACAACGAAAGCATRATATCTCTGCTACTAGACTTGGGTGCAAGCCCTAATGTATGTGATCTCAATGGACGGACCCCTGCCATGCGAGCAGCTGAATTTGGTCATGTACAGGCACTTCGTTTACTCACTGATGCTGGWAGTGACATGTCAAGTGAGGAGATTAATTATTTACCATTAAATTATTAATATTCAAAGTGACCAATCAATGGTGCATTGTCAAGAAACGTTAATCCTCAAACATCCACACAYTGATCTCTTATGTTTCTRTTTCAGTTATAGACAAAGAAGGCAAAGGGATTGTATTTTATTGCATACAACCAACCAAACGACATCTAGATTGCTTAAGGATTTGTCTGCGCAATGGAGCAAATGTTAATAACATGGTAAGAGACTGACTTTCACTTACAAAATTAAGTCACTTAATTTTGTAAGTGTTTCATGAAAATATTAAACTATAGAAGTGTCTCAAGTTCTTTTTTCGGTCCAGTATCCTATAGTCATTCAAGCGCTGCGTGTGATTGGCTAGTGTGCTGTCTGGTATTTCACAGTCAGAGCGACCTGCACGGTATCCTGCAGCTTGTAGGTTGTAAGCAAAGTTGCAGAAAATACAAATTAAAAAGAAATAAAAATGTTATATCGGCTATGGATCAGTCCGTATAGGAAAACACTGTCTTTTATGTACAGGCCTCACTGTGATTGTACTGTTACTAACAAAGATAGTACAAACCTTACATGGTAGCTCCCCCAGCAGGTGTAAGTGATGTACATGTGTGTTATGATTCAGTCCAGGTATGAGAAATGCCGAGCAAGGCTGTTGGTAACAGTTGCCTAGACAAATGATCTTTAAGTCGTCTAATGATCATATCACACTAGCTTAAAAGTGCTTAKTATATGAATATGGCTGCACAAATCATGTAAAAATTTCCTTATTTCCTCAGAGTACAGAGGGAGAAACTGTTCTCACTGTAGCAGCAACTAATGGACTGGATAGTGTTATGAAAGAACTGCTAAATTCTGGTGCAAATCCTGATGCAAAGAATACGGTATCCATTCATACTTCATAATTGTGTTATCATACTTTTATCAAAATTRATATGATTGTTAAATCCAGTTAATTCTAATGTGCACAAGTTGTGTTATCAATGGAGTGAAAGCATCTCAAATTCTTAGAGGTTAACTGTAACTCTTGTCACAAACTTGTGTGGTTAATCCTCAGCAACATTTTATTGTGTGTTTCAATATCAATGAAAATTTCAACCACCAAGGTTAAAAATAGTAGTTCTTTTCTCATCATCATGTAATAATTTTTTCAGAAAACTGGCCAATCAGCTCTACACTGTGCGGCAGAAGCTGGCAGCGTAGGTTGTGCTCGGCAYATCCTAGAAGCGGGATGCGACTTTGATGCAGTAGACAACCAAAATATACATGCTGCTCACTTAGCAGCACTTAAAGGACACTTTGACATAATCAGGCTGTTAGCTGCCTATGGCAGTGATGTCGGCAAGGTTGCATTAGATGGTAATACCCCTTTACATCATGCAGCTGCTGGTGGGTTTGGTCCAATGGTGAAGTTTCTAGGGCAACGAGGTTGTCCTGCCAGTTTGAAAAACAAGGAAGGCAAAACTCCAAGAGTTTTAGCCAAAGACAATGAACACAAAGAAGCTACTAAGGARTGTAGGAAAGCTGAGAAACTTGCTGTGAAACTTAGTAAAGGAGGGGTTAAAGGAGGAGAACCATTTGCAATTCGGGTAAGTATAATATTATATAATAATACAAACTACATTTGTCAGATTATTGTATGGYGATAACTTTACATGCAAACTAAGTTAATTCTGAAGAATAATTTTTCATAGTGCTCAGCTTAATAAAACGGGCAATTAGATATTATAATAAAATATTGAGCTTAAAACTTTGAATAATGATCCATTGATTTATTGAGCTACATGCACTTACTATTAGACTACATGTTAGACTGCATGTACTATATGCTATATGGGTGGCACGGGACTGGCCTAGTGCATGGTTAAACTGCTAGCCTCTCACCACTGTGGTCCRGGTTCGATTCCCTGGTATGGACCATGTGTGAGTTTGTCAGTTTGTTTGATGTGTTGTTTCTCTCCCTTGCCATAAGGGCTTTTCTCCGGGTCCTCCGGTTTTCCTCCCTCAGCAAAAAACAACATGCGTTGTGTGCTAAAATACTTAATGTAGAAAAAGTAGTGGTTTGCCATGCCTTTATATGCCTTAAGAAGTATTTCCCCAAAATTATACTTAATGTAGACTGAGGTAGTGAGTGTGAGGTTGTGAGGGCTATCATAAGTTAATAAGTTTTTCACTGTCGCGTGTTTATATAAACTCTCTTAAAATAAAGTTGATCCATTTATTTAATATTTTATTTATGTCTTGTAAAGGGTACAAAAAAGCCATAATATTCAAACAATAGTCTCAACAAAATAACATGCAGTATTTAATTCATTTTAATYGCATTTGATTTGTGTTCTAGTTATATGACTGGCTACAGGAACAYGAGGAAAAAGTGCTAGGAATGTTTCAGCAATTTGACCCTGAAGATGACGATGGAGGAAATCTAGGTTTCCTCACCAAAGAGAATTTTGTTATGTGTCTTCAGTCACTCAGTAAGTAGTGTAAAATTTTGAAAGGCAATGTGCAGGGGCTATGAATATTAAGTGTTAGGGATTCAACTACATGTACTATCATGTCTTGCTGCACAAAATGGTGTCGCTGCAAATATAGTTGTTCAAAGGCCATCAAGTGGAAAGTTTTAAACAATTTATGATGTCAAGTGTGTCAATTAGAGGAAATTAAACACAAAACTCAATTCAATTTGCTTTTTACCACATTTTAAGTCTAAAAATTGGCAAAAAACATTTTTTCTTTCAATTGAAAAAATGAATCGAGAACTGAATTTAAATAATTGTTGAATGTCTGATTTTTTTTAGATTGCCCTGTTGAATCTAATGATTTAGAGAAAATTGCAGTAACCCATGACCCTAGTAAAGAAGACAAAGTAGATTATKCATTATTTCTGACCTGTAAAAAAGTTGTAGGAAAGGTAAGTTAACAAAGCATAACTATGCCATATATGGCTCCCTCCTGACCTCATAAAATTTACCATTTGTAATGCTTGGAAAACCACTTATATTGTAACATTACCATCCATAGAGCGGATTTCGTATGAGTAGGAAACGGACGGTACTGTACTGTGACCGTAATCGTACTGTAACCAAATTTTAGTGCCCCATTGGTTCACCAAAATTGTGCAGGCCAGGCCCGGTAGTGCTGTAACTGTGCGGTAATGGTGTCCCACTTATACGAAATCCACTAATGCACTTCTTGCATCCACTCCCTCACCAATCAGACGCCATTCCCTTTTCTGGTTGCATCCCTCAATCTCTCAATGTCTCTCAATGTCAATCTCTCAATGTCAATTAATAAAAGTACATTTACCACACCTTCATCTTCCATCTCGAAACTACACCATCTCTCTTGCTTCCCCGAACTCTGCTAAACATTGAACACCAGCCCTGTCCTAATTGACAATATCATCATTTTCCTTCTCCTGCCCTAAACAAATTAGCGAACTTGTACAATTCTGTATATATAAATTAAGCCACATATGTCTGGACTAGCTACTGTAATATTATATTATTCTACATGTATATTCTGCAAATGTTGTTATCCAGACCTGTTTTCTATCTTGATTTGAAAATTAATTGTATCAAAATTGCACACATTAAGAAAAATGTTCAATGAATTATAATGACTAAATTGGGGTGTTTTTTTTTCTTAGAATTTCATGGTGACCCTGGGAAAGGTAATCAATATTTTTGATTTTTGAATTAAACTGACAGATAAGGATGGCATACTATTAAAGAATGCCTACAGATTTTACTTGCTTATACTCATTAATTTATGTCATTTTAGAAAAAGAAAAAGAAAGGAGGGAAAAAGGGAAGAAAAAAGAAGGTATGTATTGTTGATTCATTTTAAGAATTCTAATTAAATACTGTCTGATGAGTGCGTAGCACCAAACTCGGAGTTACAGCAAAATCTTGCCTCTTTGATATCATATTTTATATATAATATAGCTAGCTCTACACTTTATGTGTATTCAGCACTCTTTAATGGGATCAGCCACTTCCTCATATGATTAAGAATTCTAATTGTAAATGTTTCCATGGATACCATGCTGTTTTGTTGTTGTTGTTGTTGTTTGTTTGTTGTTTTATTCGCATGGTCTCAAAGATAAATTAGTCTGAGTGTTATAATTTCATACCTAATTCAAAGTTTATTTTTATCTTGAATCAACTCAGGGAAAGACAAAGATTCCMCTTCCAATTTGTACAGCACCAGATGGTCCAAGGTCCAGGAATGGTGGTCCACCCCTTGAGCTTTTAGAACGATATGTGGTATGAGAATTTGTTTTATTTAGTAGTTTTTAGTTAGTACCGAGACAATGTATATAATATTTAATTGGTAGATATTTCTTAAAATGTTAATCCTGCATTTTTATTGCTTTATTAAGACTTTCTTTTACACCTGTAAAACATCTGACATTCTTTGGGTATCTTGTATAGCATTTCACAGATAATTCAAGGTTTGATAGGGACAACCCACCAGCTCATCCAATTCAAGATGATTCAGCTTGGTACCTTAGCTTTCCAGGTATGGTTATGAACGAAAAAAAACCCTCTTCAATCCGGCCACCGAAGGGGCATCGGGAAGCGGTCGTATTAACGGGGAGGGCGTTTTAAAAGAAGAAAAGAATGAGGGTTTGATTCATTGGGACATAAAAATCCGGTCGTTATAACGGAATGCCCGCATTAAGCAGATGGTCGTAATGCAGGGGTTCAAGTGTGTAGATTCCTTTCCCTCTTACATGTTATTCTATTTCTATTCACATTTTTTTGATGACTCCCTTGTTACCACAGAAACGTCCTATTTAAATATCAATGATGCGGCCAAGCTTGGTGACCTGGAGTCGCTAAAAGCAGCTTTCATCAAGGGTACCCCTGTTGATCAGAGAGATAAATAYTAYAAGACCCCCCTGATGGCTGCTTGTGCTCATGGCAACCTAGATATGGCTCAGTTCCTWCTGGACTTAGGGTAAGATTTTCAGTGGCGCTTTGATCTTCTTTTAATTTGCCCTGTCTTTTTTTCTTMTTATTCACTTTCCCTCTTTTGTGAATTTTGTTTTCTTATTCCTAAACGTTACATTTTATCACATAATTATCTAGAAGTTACTATATTTCTCCCTTTCGAGAAGTTGTTGTTTTCACTACACGACAAAATATGCTTTCATATATGATATGAATTCTTCGTTTTCACTATACGTCACAGCGGCCATCTTGGGATAACTTCAACAGAGGATTTTTCATTAGATCTATTCATTCCTCGGCCGCCGGTATTTTATCTTTTGAAATCTCATGGGAATGGTTTAAAACGATCAATATTAGATGGTCGCTTGGAGATATGAATTTTATCTCGTTTTGAACATTTCTCACTTGTGAGAGATCTCTTCAACACTCGAAGATAAAATCCGTATCTGCGCGCACCCATGTAATATCCTCTATTTATCTATTTTTCATCTTGAATGAATGATTCCCGCAGGGCTGAAGTAAATGGAAAAGATAACTTTAAATGGACGCCGTTGCACCACGCTTGTCACTCAGGTCAACTAGAGTTAGTGAAGTTATTACTTGAAAGAGGTGCAGAACTCGATGCACAAACTATCAATGGCGGCACACCTATTATGAGAGCTATAGAGAGCTCCAGGGAAGACGTGGTTGAGTTTTTGATAGCTAAAGGGTGAGCCATGAAGACCTGTGTTTTTTTTTGTACTAGATTATCGTTTTAAAAGGGCAGAAAATTGCCCTAATAGAGTACTAAAGTGTGACGTCACAAAAATACTTTTATTCGGATTCACTGATATATCCTTAAAGCGCATGGAAAAAAGGAGCTATCTACCAAATTTCAGTGTCCTAGTGTCATTTATAGCGAAGATACAAGCGATTTTATGGTCGGATGACCACATATCACAAACGCTTGAAAATTTGGTCTTGTTCCTTTCGTTATGAACAAGACCAATTTTGCAAGCGTTTGTATGTGGTCATCCGACCATAAAATCGCTTGTATCTCCGCTATAAATGGCGCTAAGACACTTATTTAGCTAGGATTCATTAAAAATTATGCACTTTCAGAATTTCAAAACTCAAACATTTTCGTTTTGTGACGTCATCACTTGAGTACTCTATAATGACGTCACAGTATGTTTGCATTGTAGATAGATGCTTAGAAAGACCAAAATTTGGAACTATAAAATCTGTTATTGTAATCATTTCATATTATTATATTGTTAGGGCCAAAATTCAGTTGCCCAACAAGAAAGGACATACAGCTCTTGATGTTGCTAAGGCCTACTCTGACCCTCGAGTGGTTGCCATGGTACAGAAACGATGGGATGAAATACCACCGCCCGTCGATAAGAAAAAACGTATGTATCTACAATTATATCTTTTCTAAAAAGTATACAGTGTTCAGTAAAATAATGTGATCACTCAAATATCGAAAACAATTGAAATGAGAACACGACGTTTCGATCGAATTTATCGATCTTCATCAAGTCGAACGACCGTTTGAGCCGCATTTAAATATATACAGTATTAAGTACAACCTTGTTATACCGGTCATGGCTTCGAAATGTGGGCGTACTACCGAGGTGGCATTTTTTATCAGGAAGAAAATATGAGGGTTTCAATCGCGGGAACATAAAATTCTGGTCGTTATAATGAAGTTGTAGCATTAAGCGGTTAGACGTAATGCAGGGTTTTGGTGTAACATACATGGCTTCGACACGCTAGATATTCATAATCAATGAATCAACTGTTCG